TATAAATAATTTCAAAAAAAAAAAAAAAAAGAAATCAATGTTTTTCAAAAAATATAAATTTATTCATCTCTTTTTCAAAGTAGCCGCCGACGATTCGGTCCCTATCTTTTGTGATTATTATTATTGTTAATGTGTTGTCAGTCGAGTCTTTTTTCAAATTCTCCTTTAAATTAATGTGTGGCTCCAAAAGGAGCCTGTAATTTTTGGGTTTTTGAAAGCCTGAAAACAGAGCTTACTTCTTTTTCGGTTTTCTTGGGCAAAAGAACAGCCTGAATGTTGGGTAGGACACCACCTTGTGCAATGGTGACACCCGAAAAAAGCTTGTTCAGTTTCCTCGTCATTACGGATGGCCATTTTGTAAGTGACGAGGAATGATGCGGGTCTTTTGTTGTCACGTGCAGCTTGCCGGCCAACTCAAGTACTTCTGCTGCAGGTATTCCATGACGGCTGCCAGGTACACTGGAGCACCAGCTCCTACACGCTCGGCATAGTTGCCCTTGCGTAGTAGACGATGGATTCTGCCGACGGGGAACTGAAGTCCGGCCCTACTGGAGCGAGACTTTGACTTTCCCTTCACTTTTCCGCCTTTGCCACGTCCAGACATGTCTGCTGTTGCTACGAGTGAGTGTGTATTTGTATTTTATCGCGAATGGAGCTTCCCTTTATATACTCCCGCTCAGGGCCTCGAGCGAGGCGAGCACACAGCTTCACCAGCCAATCACAATGCGCGCACATTCGAGACCCTCGATCCTGAGCCGGCAACGGCATATAAAAGAGGAACGGCATGGCCGGCGCGCACAAATTCATTTGACATTACCCCGTCAACGCAAGCTGCATCATGCCTCCCAAAACTTCAGGAAAGGCTGCCAAGAAAGCTGGAAAAGCCCAGAAAGCAATTGCAAAGGGCGACAAGAAGAAGAAGCGCAGAGGAAGGAGAAGCTACAGTATCTACATCTACAAGGTGCTAAGCAAGTCCATCCTGATACTGGCATCTCGTCAAAGCAATGTCGATCATGAATTCATTTGTGAACGGACTCTTTGAGCGCATTGCAGCTGAAGCTTTCCGCCTAGCTCACTACAACAAGCGTTCTACCATTACTAGTCCCCGAATCCAGACAGCAGTAAGGCTCTTGCTACCTGGAAAAAATGGCTAAGCACGCTTTTTCTGGGGGCACCAAGGCTGTAACCAAATCAACTCCTCTAAGTAAATGGCAGAATGCACTTCAAAGAAGGAAAATTAGGCTCCATTGGAGCCACAGATTGATTTCAAAGAGACTATTGACTAAACAACAACAAAAATTAATTTTATCTATTTATTTATTTATTTATTTATTTGTTTTTTTTTTTTTTATCTGAAAAAAGAAACAAATTCTAATTTTTTTTTAGTTACGTTGTAATTCTTGAAAGATTTTCTTTATAACTAGATTACCCTTTCTGTCCATGTCCTTTCTTTGTAGATTTCACTACCACCTAGTTATTATTATTCTTTCGATTACATTTCCCTCCCCAACAAATAAGGCAAGAAATATAGGAAAATAAAGAGAAACAGTTACAGGAGCATTGTTGGTGCAGTGGCTACTGAGAAAGGCTTGATTTCATATGCTAACGAGGGGTGATTTCATATGCTAACGAGGGGTGATTTCATATGCTAACGAGGGGTGTTAGTATTTCTGTTTCTCTACCCATTCTTTCTATACTATCTATCTACCTAGCAATCTATGTATCCATCTATATATATATATCCATATGTGTATCCCTACCCCATCCACGAAGGGTCCTTTCCTATCCTTGAAATGTTACCTACCTAGTCTGTGTGGACATTGCAACAACATTTAACAAAGTAAGAGGACTCTTTGCCTGTTTTTTAATAAATAACATCATCTAGGAGGTAGCTATATAAATAGTATTGTTATTATTATTATGCATTAGTCTATATCATCTCTTAATAACATTATCTTGTGGCCCTAATAAGGGCCTGTTTGTATGTATACGTAGGTTGGGACCTAAGCACGTTCTCCACGGATGCGGCGAGCTAACTGAATGTCCTTAGGCATGATGGTAACACGCTTAGCATGGATGGCACACAAGTTAGTATCTTCAAAGAGACCAACTAAGTAAGCCTCAGAGGCCTCTTGTAAAGCCATGACAGCTGACGACTGGAATCGCAGGTCAGTCTTGAAATCTTGAGCAATCTCACGTACAAGTCGCTGGAATGGAAGTTTCCTGATGAGCAGCTCAGTGCTCTTCTGTACGACGGATCTCACGTAGAGCAACGTACCAGGCTGTAACGATGAGGCTTCTTGACACCTCCCAGTGGCAGGTGCAGACTTGCGGGCTGCCTTGGTAGCCAGCTGCTTTCGAGGGCCTTGCCTCCCGTGGACTTGCGGGCTGTTTGCTTAGTGCGAGCCATTCTGTATGCCTGATATGAAAAATTTTTACGGCTACATCTTGCTTTTATAGTGCAGCCGCCGCCTCGATCTGCGATTCCATTGGCTAAGAACTCCGCTGACGTCCTCACTAAGCTCCGCCTACTCTCGCCTTCCTCCTGCTCCTGTTTCTACATTATGTCTCGTCATTTGTTTCATTTAGAAGGTTGTATGGAATTCAAACCTCATAGGTCAATGAGTGAGAGCAGCAGACACCTTTAGGTCTAAAGGCGAAATCAGAAATTAGAGCTAGACTGAAAATTAGCAAGGAAATTATACTCTAGGTATAGTGCTACGTAGGCGTGAACTTACCGCGTCCAACACGCGGGTAATATAACAACAAGCGAAAACGCGGGCCTTTTAGACTTCGACTCATTCTCTGGGAGAGAGCGGTTGTGGCTGCATCTTGTCTGGTGACTTATTTGATTCTGCAATGACTGGTGCGGCAAGGGAGGCAAAGGACTTGGAAAGGGTGGCGCCAAACGTCATCGCAAGGTTCTTCGTGACAACATCCAGGGCATCACCAAGCCGCTATTTCGTCGGGTGGGTCGTCGTGGCGGCGTCAAACGTATTTCTGGCCTGATCTACGAGGAAACTCGAGGAGTTCTCAAAGTTTTTTTTAGAGAACGTCATCCGAGATGCCGTCACATACACAGAACACGCCAAGAGGAAAACTGTTACGCAATGGATGTCGTTTATGCCCTTTAAACGGCAAGGACGCACCCTCTATGGCTTGGTGGTTAAATCAAATTTCAACTACCAACGATCTTTTTTCCTCAACAAACAAAACATCATCATCGAGGAAAAAGAAAAAAAAAAGGACCTTATTAAGGTCCATATTGATTTCAACGAAAAGAGTTTGCAATTAGACAATATAACATGGGAATAGTATAAAACTAAATTACCCTTCCTAGCTACATGAAAAAAATATATATATTAAAAAATAATAATTATATATATATATATATAAAAAATATTTTATATATATATATATATAATATATATATATAATAAAATATATATATATAATATATATATATATTATTAATAATCAGTATAGTTTACTAAAGAAATTACTTTGGAATTTGACGTTTCTGCAAGAATTTATTAAAAAAAGGTTCTTGCTTGCTTCCTTCAGGTCTTGACTGATCGCTGAATGTTGGTTTTCAGGCGTGCGTGCGCGCGCGTGCGTGTGTGTGTGCTCACCTAGTTGAGGTTGCGGGGGTCGAGTCCGAGCTCCTGGCCCCGTGTGTGTGTGTGTATGCTTGTCTGTGTGTGTTAGGGAGAGAGGTAGGGGGAATAGGGGCGGTGGATGGACACAATGAAACAGGTATTGCAGCTTCGTCCTTAGGGAAAACAACCGTGTTTTCATGTGTCCAGAGTTTTTCATTTAATTATTGTTTTTTTACGGCTGCCTGACAGACTTAGGCGTGGCCTAGTATTGTAACTGAAAGTAAATCGTTTGTTTGGTAGCTACCAAATGTAGGTTAGACAAATCCGTTTGTCGAAATGGTTGTTTTTGAGAGGGACTAATAGTAGTATATGAGGTACAAAGGATATGGAATCCTATGTCTTCTTTCCTTGAGCATGTAGAACATAAGAACGAAGGAACACTGCAGAAGGCATGTAAAGGACCTGCCTAGTATGGGCCAACAGGCCTGCTGCAGTGATCCTCCTTTCTTGTTCTTGTTCTATGTTCTTATCTAGGTCACATTGAAAAACAACATTGCTTCAAGAATTTGAAAGGGCCGCCGAGCCGGCCGGCAGGCAGGCAGGCAGGCAGGCAGGCAGGCAGGCAGGCAGGCTAGAATATGCCAGAAGGCTTGTCTCAGTGTTCCTCCATTAACTTGTTTTTTCTGTTGTGGCCTACAGTACAGTACAGCCAGCACATAAATGATGGCCAGCCAGTACTGACTCCCCACTCCACCCCCCGCCATTGTAGATGAATGGTTCAGAGAACCGACATGTTGATAAATTAGACACATGTGCAACTCTTGGGTATCTTTAATGAGGAAACGTTTCACCACGCAGTGGCTTCATCAGTCCATACGTAGGAGAAACTTGAAGAACAGGAGGAGAATGAGGTAATCAGTCCCTCAACCCCCCGGCATCCCCACACCCCCCAAATAAAAGGTTCACATTAAAGTGCATAATGATGTAACTAAAGTAAAGTAAGTAAATAACATAATAATTTGAGCAGAGCTATAAATAAATACAAATCTCAGAATTACTTGGTGTAAAATTACCGAGGAATAACCGGAAATAGTTATTGTGACTTATTTTCATTCTAAGTTGATGCTCACTTTAAAGTTTATTAAGTTAACTTTATTTCCTTTTTATGTCTTATTGTTACAAGTGATTCTCACACAACACAATTACTTAGGTGGCGGATCTAAGTTTGAATGAAGGTATTATATTTAGAAATTCTTGAATTATTACAAGGACACAAAATGCAGAGGAGTTATTAAGGTTGTTTTGACTCGGGTAGGTTATCCTAAGTAATATACACTATGTATGGTAATTTTAGCTGTGTGTACATATTAGGTAAAAGGACACACATGCATCAAAAAAAAT